TAAAATATTAATTTATTAAAATTTTTTAAACCAACTAAAAACGGTAAGACAAAAAAAAAAAAAAAAAAAAAAAAAGGAAATATCATTGATCAGACACGCCTGATCAATGTTTCAATTCAAAGAGCTAGAGACAGTTTCAGCATGAATCAATGATCCTAAACCATATACTCACTGTATTCTATAAGCTGGTGTAATGAATTATTTCACTGCAATCAGGCTTTGTTTACATGAGCATCTTTATAAACTTTTAGGAAGCCACTAGAATGTGACATACATAGGTCACAAAGACTACACATTTTATTCAAACAATCAAGTGAAGGCATCAACGTTATGTTTTAAAGTAATAATTTTATTGTTATACTTCAATTTGACAGTACAAAACAAAATCATACAGTCAGAAACATCACAGTACAGCAGCACATGCATACAACTTGGGACAAAAATAACCCTTCAGTGTGTCACATGTATCGTAAATGGGAAAATCAAATGATTGCTCACCTATTGGGGAAGGGTTTCTAATGTAACTCAAAATAAGTCAAAAAGAAAAACAAATATGGATTTTTATATATTTCTCTTTAATATCTATTTTCTGAATATGTATTATATATATATATATATATATATATATATATATATATATATATATATATATATATATATATATATGTATATTTGTCTTCTTTGTCACTGTCTTATAGTACAGTGCAAGTCTCTAAGCTTTACATTTACTTTGCTTAAACATATATATTCTTTTGAACAATTTCATTTATTATATGATACAGTGATAATTTGCAGTTTCATTAAAAAAAAAACACTTTTGAAAACAGTCTTAGAATACAGAATAGCCTCGTGTAAACTGTAAAATTAAAGCTAAATGCCTTTCAAAGGAAAAGTGACCGTCAAAACTCTCACATAATGCCCTCGGAGGACAAACACAAATTTAGTGGCAGCGATTTGGTAACAGTTGACTCTTCGAGGAAAATCTCTTAGTAAAAAATAATCTCATTTAAGGAAGCAATATCTGTTCTTTGGTTGATCAAGGATTAATAATCTGTGAGTAGAGAGCCCTCAAAAGGTCAAAGTGGGTGTGGCCAGTTGGGTGAGCGAGGCGACATCTCTGGTAAGGATTTAATTATCTTACTAGTTTTCTGTTTCGTTGGTCATTTTTAAGCTGGTAGAGTTGGCATTGCTCATTGTGTTCTGGAAGGATCTGTCCCTAGACAGCACAAATATCTTACCACTGCTATGCTGATGACACACAGCAATAAATATATTTTTTGCTAACTTCTTTGTAATCAACCTCTGTGGTCACTACATGGATGTCAAATGTTGGTTGTCCGGTGACTTATTAACAAACAAATGAGGACAAAACAGAAAAGAGATTCTGAAAAACTCAAAAAAGATCTCATCGATACACTTTATTTTGATTTTGGCTTTTTCTTAAAACTTTTGAGTATGACGTTCGACGTTCGATGCAATGAAAAGCTTTTCAATTCTGAAACAACCAGATGTAAAGACACTCCCTGTTGTTAAAAAGAGGAAGAAGAACCTATAGCGAAGCCTCGTACAGCATGGATACTGTATGAGTCTTTCTTTACAATTCAAATAAAATGGTAACTTCATTGTCAGGCAAGTAAAAATTAATTGGATGTAATTAAAAGTGACCTTTTGGGGGCTTTGGGCTTTCTTTTATAACATTTTCAATAAGTCCATCTGTATATTTTAAAATAATGTTTAAAAAAAAAAAAAAAAAAACTTAGAAAAAAGTAGCAGTTGCTGTAGCATAATTTGGGTTTTCCGTCACCTAAAACAATATTGACTGAAAATGGTTGAAAATAAGTGTTTGAAAAAAATAAAGCACTGTATGTAAGAAAGCGATTCTGATGTAAGCAAGTTAAATTCTGCAAGGCTGTAGCAATCATAACAGTCTTTAAATTACAATTAATAACTACATAGTCCTGACAGGAACATAGAATAAGTTGGAATTCTTCAGATCAATGACTTTAGTCCTAAATCTCGATCAGCAAGGGGAATAATCAAAAATAAAATGCACTTTGTTTTGAGAGAATTAATGCTTTGTGTAGCACCTCTACAGCATTATCAATTTTAAAATATTGTATCCTAAATTGTGCCACTAAAGACGTCATATAATGTTCACAATATCTTTCTGTGTTCATTCACCAGCAGTAGCAATTTTCTACCATTATAAAACACGAGGAGGATTCATCACACTAATATCCAGCAGGCTAAGACTTCCATGCTATTCATTCATGGGCTTTTTGCATTTTACGGAAATAGCAGGCTGAACATCAAATGAACTATTTTACTGAATCCCATTCACGAGCTTGCGGAGAAACAGTAGATAGGGGCCAATGCACAGTTTTACACACCCACTATTAAAATGTAACAACACTACAATTTATGTGGATTTTTTATTTTTTTTTGTATTTCTCTATTTTTTATTTTTTATTTATTTTTTTTTCTTGGCACTTTTAAGCTCTGCATCTTAATCCCTGTGATCAGTTTACATGGCTGTCTTCACTCTTTAGCTCTTTAGGCTTCTATTTTTGCATGCATCCAGCATCCACTCTGACATTCTTTCTATTTCAATCCTTCCATTTCTCTTTCTGCAGCTCTCAAACGACCAACCAGTGATGCAGCTGTGGAGAGGGAAAAAAGTGCAACATGCCCTTAAAATGCTGCAATCGTGACATAAATCTAACAGCAAACTAGCTTATGACCAGAGAAGTACAAAAGATACATTTTGGAGATCTAACTATATGCTAAAAAAAAAAAAAAAAAGTAGGATCAAGGTTACACTCACAGTGAACTGCCGAACCTCTCCGTTGTCTACCAGGTGATGCTCTGTCTCTGGGGTGATGGCATAAGCAAGGCGCTGTTAGGGAAGACTGATTAGTACCTGTTCTTAAGCCAGTAAGCCTCACAAACAAAAACGTATTACAGTACCAAAGCAAGCAAAAGATATAAAAAAAAATAATAATAATAATATTTTGCTTGCTTTGTATAAGGTTGATTATGGAGACTTACATCGCAAAACCTTCCTGGAAGTGTGCAGAGCTTGTAGATGGCATACAGTGGAACCATGGTCATTGATGACATGGCCAGGCACCACCCTAGCAGATTAGCCCATTGAGGAAACATGTAGGAGCCGTAATTTGGAGGGTTGAACGTAGCGAAGCTAACCACGACCATAAACTATAAGAGGAGAAAAGTGTAAACACAAAATCCAGACTTTGGAGAATCTTTCCAAAAACAGCATTTACCAAAGGCCTAATTACCACTGGTGGTCAAAAACAGAAACACAAGTTTGCATGCATGTCTTTGTACAAGCCAGTAGAATTTGAGGTAAGCTTCATCCATGTTTATGCTATAAATCACAAGTCTACAGTGGGTAGGACTCACCAAGAGGAAGCAAGGGCTAACAAACTTCCAGCACAGTCTCCAGTACCTTCCTGGTCTGTGACCAATCATCTCCTTAATGTCATCACTGAAACGATCCACTCCTAAAACACACAAAGATGCAAACTTTTGGGTGGAACTTGGAGAGAGACACGGCTGCGGGTTAAACGAGGTGGGAGGAACAAATTTATGCAGGAGCATAATAGCATTGTCCACAAAACAGAAGAAAACAAACCACACCAAATGGATTACTCAATAACCTCAAAATCATCAACGACTTGAGAAGCTGGTGCTGCTGCATGCCAAGGTGGATTCACATATCAACATGTAAATATAGATTTTAAACATGATAATCTGTGTAAATGTAAGATTGTGACTTATTTAATTTTTGTTGGATCGATGGGTTACAAACATTTTGCATTTAGGAGAATAGTGCAAAACAAACAAACAAAAAAAAATATATAATGAAAACTCCCAGTATTACATTTGGCATAAGAGTTATAGGAGAACACTAACTGAGCAATGCTTAAAGTAATTGTGCAAAGGCAAACAAATTCCCTTCACTCATTTCTTTTTTTTCTTTGTGTTGCCTAACATTCCTCAGTGTAGAACAATATATCCAGTCTGACGACCAGGTATTCAGTTCAACAAATAGTTCTGAAGTAGTGGATAGCAGAATGAAAGACCACAGTAGCCAGAGGGTCAAGGGTTTCTGTCAGTAGTTATAAGGATATAAAAAAAAAAGACCAGCAAAAGCCCGTTGAGGCCTCGGGCGTGATTTATTGGGCTTGCCAAGGTCAAGATCCAGCAAACTGGGGTAATATGCTGACCCCCTTTGCCTGGGGCCTTTGTACTACTCAGGTCTTTATTCACCCCTCCACTTTCTAGGTTAGAAGCCACCGGGGAGGAAAGTCGGCTCACGTCAGTAGTTCTGCCAGATCTTTATCTTATTAGTTCACATTTTTTGCAATACTTTCTGGTTGTTCATTTTTTACTTTTTTTTAATTTACAGAAAACAAATTTTAAAAAAAAATGAAAGAAAAAGAAATATTTGAGACCTTTAGGGAAAGAAAAAAAAATAATGTAAATATATATCTTTTTGTAGATTTTAAAAAGTTTTTGGAAAAAAAGCTAAACATCATGGCTGTTATCTTTGCCTTCATTTGGTTTCTTAAAATTGTCCTTAGAAGTAAGAAGTGGTACAATTTAATATAAAATGTGAGTGTGCGTATCATGATACAATGAACTCCATAAATCCAAACCATACTGCCACTGAACTATATTTTTGAAAGAAACAAAATGTACTCATAACGACATCACAGACAAATTTCAAATTAATATCCATTCAACCAAGGCAATTTAAAGTGAGAAGTTGCAGTAAGAAAATAAATATTTTTAGAATGAGCGGAAAATCTGTCTGCTGGTAGAACCCATAAAAGCAAAGGAAGAACATGCAAATGTCACAAAAATACCCTGGAAATTATTTGAACAACAAATGTGTATAATGCAGCTGAGCTAACAACGGTGCCACAGCATCGACCAGAATAAAGATGTCATTAATTTTATGTCAGAATTTATTGGGGAATAATTTCTTCAAAATGTTGCTGGCAAGACTCGGATGAAATGCCGCAGGAATCTTTGTCTAATAAGTGACCAGACAAATCTCAGCCACAGCCGCAATGACTAAGGCGACTATGGCAGGTGACTGAAAAAGGAAGCGCCTGTTCCTGAGCAATGATTTTTATTGTTTGTTGACTCACCACCTTGTGTGAGCTGAGAGGTAACACAGTCACAGGTCAGACTCTCTCTCCATCTGTTCATTTCATAAGCACCACACAAACAGTTTCCCAACAATATGCACAGCGCGGGGACAGAACTGAAGAGACCGATGCTTATGACCTTCTACCTGAAGCTGTTTTATATCTAATAAAAGGCATGTTGTATTGGGGCACACAACACCCAGACCAAGCAATTTCTCCTCAGACCTTTAATAAAGCATCAGCTTTGCTGGTCATGAAAAAAATGAATGGAGTGGCGTCTCTCCTTGTTACTTTAGCTCATCTTTCTCACCGTAGAACCAGGCGATGCCGATGGCTTCAATAAGCACTCCAAAGAGAATCGATGTTCCGGCCGCAAAGTGATCCAGGAGAGTAAACACATACATCCCTCCCTGAAAGGGGAAAAAAAAAGAAACACAATTAAATCCACATAGGTTTTATTTGGCATTGTGAAACATTTTTTTTTTTTTTTTTTAAAAAAAGCAAAAAGCTAAAAGCTTTTTTTGGGGGGGACACTGATTGTAATTAAGAGTTTAAGCATTGCAGAGGTGAATATTTACCACCAAGCAAACAAGTGTGCCATGCAAAAAGTCTTCCTGGTAAGAAACTCACATTTGTGACACAGAAGAGGGATATGAGAAATGTTGAAACAACGATAAACAGGGTGAACAGCTCTCTGTGTTTGTGAAGGAATTTGAATTCATCAATCAGCCCAGTGATCACAGACTCCATCCCACCCATCTACAGAGGAATCAGAAGAAAACACAAAGTGAGAGAGAATCAGGCAGCAGGTGTTTGCATGAATGTTAAGAGCCAAACAAAGATTGGAAAATATCAAAAATGGTCATTTTTACTTTGTTGTAGAGTGAGGATTTTTAGGAATGAAAAATTAGCTTAGGTGATATTAAGGTGGATTGGCTCTGATCAGTGTGCAGCTGCACAGAAACTTAAAAATATGATATGTTCCTAAATTCTGAATATAATATTACAATATAATATTATGATATAACATTACCAATTCATGTTAAAGAAAAACACTCTGCAATGTTGATTCTCATTTTCAAAGTTATATATTATATTATATATAGTTATATGTTTCAAGAAGCTATTAAACTGGAACTCGTGTTTTCTATATCACATTGCCAACATTGGTTGTAATTCATTTGCATATTGGTTGGAAATTTGAAGAAATTTTTTTAAAAGGCATTAAGAAATCGGGTCCAAAATTCTCATTGTCAAATCTCCAACCAATATGCAAATGAATTACGACCAATGTTGGCAACGTGATATCACAGTGAATTGTCAACAGTGCTAGTCCCAAATGACGAAGGGAAATAAGAGATGTGTGTGTGTGCATGCATGTGTGTCTGTGTGTGTGTGGATGCATACTCACTGCACTGTCAAGACCAAGGGTCAGCAGCATAATGAAAAAAATCACCGCCCACACTGATGACCCAGGTAATGTTGCAATGGCTTCTGGGTAAATTACAAACACTAAACCAGCACCTGACGAAGAGAAAAATCAAAAAAGTGAACAGAAGAACATCACATACAATGACCGAGCATAATGTTAAAGCATTGTGACCACTGACAGATGAAGGAAGACCAATGATTATGTTTTTATTGCACACGTACAAGCAACAAGTGAAAGACAATAAATACATATTCACATTTGAAAAAGGACAACCATGAAGATTTAATGTAGTTCGACAAGAGGCAAAAAGTGATGACCAGGCAACTGGACCACAGCATAACCAAAAGTGCAGCTTTTTTGGAGATATTCAGTTTTACACAGTGATCAATTTATTTCAAAAGCACAAGGGAGAGACTGTAGTGAACCGCCAAGTGAAGCTTAAGTAGCTGGAAAGGGGAATGTTTGGTCTAATAGAAAGGTGTGAAAATAACAAAACAATAAATCATAGCTTTTCTTGCATATGGGGATACACAGCCATAACATAGTCAAGATGGAAATAATATGCCTTCATGGCAGTGGCCTATTTCAGCAGGACAACATGTCCAAGTCAAACATGATTCAGTAACGATAACCCAAAAAACTAAATCAGATTATCCACTTTTGGAAATTATAAAATCAGAAGAAAGACTCCGTGTTCTAATCATATTAGCATATTGAACTAAAAGGTTAAGGTCATTAAAATAACATACCATCTCTAGCGACTTTATCTAGAGCCACGTTGTGTTTGTGGGACATGTACCCAAGAAAGGAGAAGACAACGAATCCAGAGAAGAAACTTGTCAAAGAGTTGATGGAGCTGGTTATGATAGCATCCCTGGATGAAACAAGACAGAAAATGACAGGATGACGGTATAAAAACTGTTTTTTTTAGCCAGAGCGCAGTGACATCCAACCAAATTGATCATATCTATTAAAGAAAATGCCAGCGGTGGGTCCAGGGAATTTCCTTTTGCGTATGCCTTTTAAAAAATGAAACTGAAGAAATGATTCAGAAAAAGAAAATTGATTGTTTTTCTAGTCATTCTGTTAAGTTGGTAGATGACAAGCTACCATTTTGTTGTTTTTGTAAAGTCTAGAAAAAGGTAAGAGAATATAAATTAATAGAAAGATTCTCAAAAATTATTCTGAATAAAATTCATGTACAATTTGCTGTATCTTTAGCTCTTTGGTGTAATCAAATACTAAAGCTGGACTGTGTTGTCTGTCAGCTCTCATAAAAAAAGTAAAAGCGGACATGAAAACGTTTCTTCTGGTTGCTTTCGGATTTTCCAAGAATTTAATACTTTGTAGCTACATTCCTTTTTTGTAGCTTCAAAGGAGATTCTATTTTACCTACTTGTGCAGCGAGCATGCTTGAACCGCATGGCAAGTTCTCCACCCCTGTCTGCCTTGATGAACCCCCACCTGCCTACCACTGCTTGCGTGTGTGTGTGTGTGTGTGTGTACCTGTAACAGTTGTTGCTGAATTTGTTGTAGCTGGAAAATGCAATTAGCACACCAAACCCCACACCCAGTGAGAAACAGATCTGTGTTGCAGCCTCAATCCAGACCTGGGGAGCGAAAGAACAAGCGCACTCGTATGAAGCGGCAAACAAAAGGTGCAGGAGAGGAAAAAAGCCATTATTTGAGATAATTGCAGGAAACTCATTCAACGGCAGTAGATGAAAGACACATGTGAATACAGGGGGTAATTTTGCAAATTGCTGCTCCATGCATCTATTTAATCTAATTCGCCAATTGCTCCCATAAATTTCTCGGTGTCCCTCCATCAAGGTTCCTCAATCTTGGTCTTGCATGTTTGCTTTTTAAGCTCCATGACACCTAAAATTAGTGAATAGCCAGTCCTTTAAAGTGAAAATAATACAAATATAGTAATGATGTTAAGGCATTCATTGGTTGCCTGTGTGAGTCAATAGAATGCTTAGTTTAATTCTCGGATTGGTTCACAGCAGGCAAGGACAGACACGAATGTATAGCAGGAAGTTTGTCATTGCAAGACAATATATGTACCAACACTAACATAGAGTTAGAATTATTGTCTGATTGTTGTAAAACACTCTGTGCCTCGCATCTGTTACCACTGAACATCATCTTTCACGTTAAGTAATTTCAAACAGCTACAACAATTAGTCTGTAGGCCTACTTTCTATAATGCAGTGCATAAGGTAACCTAATCGAGTCCACCTCTGAAAAGTTGTGTAAAAAGTCATAAAATAAGTGAATTTTTAATTAAGGGAAGAAAATCTCACACTAAAAAAATGAGAAATATCAATCTTTAAGCCCATTTTTAAGTGGGAGGGGGATTCCATGTAAATAAATAACCGTTTTGATCCAAGTCACTGGTGATGCTATTATTTGCACCACTGCTGCCAGTACTTTGTTCATTCTAATGCTGCCTGTGGCTTTTGGGGCATAAAGCATGAGGAAAGATTGACCTTAGACTATTTATCCTTCCACTGTTTCTTTCTTTACTATAGTATGAAGGTATGGGGATCCAGATGACTATAGCTACCAATTTTCACTCGTCTAGCAGAGGTCACCAGATTTTAAGAGTTGGCTTTATAGGATTCCTGATGCCACCGACTCTAACTAGTAATTAGAAGTTTCTAGACACTCTCACCAACATAAAGAATAAAAAGTATAAAACTTTTACATGGGGCAATTGGGACTTTATCGACCCAATCCCCACCCCAATAAATTTTCACAAAAAATGGTTTGACTTTTCTAAGATTTTCTGTGATTGTTTGTGCAAAATAGCTTAAATAGCTTTCAAGTGTTTTACCCATCTGTACCAAGCGTGAGTTGGTACAGTACTTCGTTACTGTACTTAAGTACAGT